TTTGGAAACTAAAATCCCCCTTGGAATCCCCCCATAACACACAGTTAAGATTGGATCTTCTTAAACCTTATTTTTGCTTCATACATTGGACACTTAACACGGAACTCACAGTTCTGAAGGCCTGCCTTATCAGTTTTAAATGTGTATGCAAGGACTTCCTTGGTAAATTTGACTAGAAAGTCTGCCTCCATAGCAATTTTATTCTTCACGGCATTTTTTGCACAAAGTGACTGCTCTCAAACTTGTACTTGTATTCGGTTGTTAGACCAAGATTTTACCATTGCACTAAACAATGGTCCCCATCCATAATCATGCATCTTGAACCAATTTTGTACTAGGCTATCACCCAATTTTGGTCCCATCTATCTGTGGCCTTGGGATGGGTGGACTGAATATGAACCTAACCTTTATTTATTTACTTATTTAAGCACAAAGTGATTACTCTAGGAGACTCAGACTAGAGGTGATCATGGACTGGGCCAGGAAAGCTTAGCACCTTAATAAGGACTATAGCCCAGGTCTGGGCGCTGCCAGGACTGGGTTCTGGACCTAAAATGTAAGCCTAGTCCTAGGTTGGGCTGGATTCTGGGCCTATGACTTTAATTTATAAACTATTAAATATATAATATTTAATATGAATTATAGGTGCCATATTATAATATTCATGTACAAAATAAAATATAGTATGTATATAAGTGTGTGTGTGTGTAGGCTGGGCCAGGCCTAAAGTATTGGGCCCAGGCCCAGAGTTAATGGCCTGGGTGGAAAATTATCACCCCTATCTTGGACTTCAAACCCATGTTCTCATGCTTGTAAATCCAAGATTTTACCATTACATCAACTTAAAGCTACTTTTGGAATTGTTTTTGGTGTCTTTTTGGGAGAAGAAAAAGTAACAGTTGTTTTTAGGAAACATTAGGGTTGGTTATTTCTCCCAGGGCCCACAATGCCCAGACTGGCCCGTCTCAAGAACTTCTGTGCCCAGGCAGCAGTTTTTCTTCCAATCCTAGCCCACCCCAGAAGTTTTGTTGTGTGTTGTTAAATAAAATATGTATATAAGGCCATTACTCCATGTTGGTCCCAACTATTTGTAGTCTTGGTTGGGAGGGGTAGACTGGACTCAGTCCCAATCTTTGGCATTTTTTGCATACAATGGCCACTCTCAAACTTGAACCCGCATTCTCACATTTGCGAGCTTGAGGTTTTACCATTAAATAATACATGTATTTATAATTTGTATATACGTATTTGTGTATATAAAGAAAATTTTATAGTGTGTGTACATACGTATGTATAATAAATTTTTATATATATTTTCTGTAATTTTAATTATAAACTTGAATTGAAATTTTAATTTTTAAAATATAATTTTATTAGTTTATACAGGGAGGACCGGATGCCCAGCCTGGCCCAGCCCAAGTCCAAGCCTGGACATATATTATCAGGCCTGGGGTGTGGGCCAGGCCAGACCCAAGCAGCCCCAGATGTTGTTACTACTATATTAAAACCTGGCCTAGTCCTGGCCCATGATCATCCCTAGGAAAACATTCTACATGTTAGAAACCACATTCTATATCTAGAAAATGGTAAAAAGAAAATATGTCAGTGCTTCTACAAAACAGGAAGCAGTAGAACAGACAATAGATTAGTGGCACTATATGATGGTTAAGATGAAAAGCGAAGGAAATAGACTTACTAATATACACTTGAGAACCCTATCGAATATCGATCAAAAAATATATATATACACTTGAAAACCCCATTGTAAATCAAAACATGATCTAAACTTTTAAATAAGCTACAAATAGAAAGCTTGATGTGATTAACTTTTTCTTTAGGAGAGAATAGAGGAAAGTGTAATAAACTTTTAGTAGAAATCAAACATAACTTCTTTGTCATGACCTATGCAGTACATAGAATACTAACCCTGAACACAAGGCAGTGCAAAAATTCAGAGTCCTTCTTGCTTTTCCTGTGACAACATGAGTGCTCACTCTCCCATCAGATGTAACAACACCACCAAGGCCTTCAATAATCTATGATATCCACATCCATGCCCAAGAATTATAAGCCATAAACAGCACCAAGTAAAAGAAGATAACAAAAATTCAACTGTAAATGAAATACCCACTAAAGCAGACATCCAAGATTGATGCTTTATTACATGATACTTGGTCTATCGAAGCAAACATGAATAAAATGTTCAGGTAACTATGTAAGAAGAACAATAACTAATCCCAGCGCAACTAGAGAAATTAGAACTTGTCATGCATTTTCTGAGTGAGTTCTTACAAGTAAACTCCAATGGCAAATGGATGCTGACTCAAGTTTTCAACACATATCATCTCTTTTTCTGATGCCATTACCAAGTGTACAAAACAAAGAGATTAATACACTTGGTAAATATAAAAGACTAAGAATGCAACAAAACCATTGTGATATCTAAACTACCATTAACTGTTTAAATACACAGAAGAAATCGCAGGGGTTCTAAATAATGTTACATGTTCTATTTTGTCCATTCTCATAAAGAAAATCTATGATTTAAGACATGAGCCTAGTGAATGTGTCTAGTGTGACCAAGGAGAAAAATGAAAATGAATTAATAACTTTCCAGCAGGAGTTAGAAATTATAACAATGCCTAAACAAAACTATGCTTTACTAGATTTCATCTTCTTTGTCCAAAAGCCATAGAAATTGAGTGAGGAAAAAATACAAAGTGGATAAGTAGGGAGAGAGTGAGATAGCAGCTGTCAACTAGGAGAAGAAATGGACTCTAGGGTTAAGATCAGGTTCATGATAAAGATTTTATATTAGAGAACAATAATTAAAGAGATTTAGGAGAAAACACACACAATCCTGGAGAAGGAACTGCCAAAAACTCAAGTCATCATGCCATTACATTGAAAAAAAAAACTACAAGATATATTTATCAATGTTTTGGTAACTGCTAACTGGAAAAGACCAGTTATAAGTTGTCTAAAGGAATGTCAAAAGTTATAGGTAGTTAATTAAAAAAGAAAAGCAAAGAAAAAACTTTAATGGCAATTGTGCAACTGCTTGACATCCACAACTTTGACCAATTCTTGCACTTTTTTCCTGATCTGCAAAGGGATTTAACTCCTATTTTATTAAAAGGTTGAAGTAGATTGGGTCTCACCAGCCTGAAGAAATATGTAGTAGTGAAAGTCTTGGTTTAAGGACCATGTACATACAAGGAGTGGACCACTAAAGCTTTCATAAAATGATAAGTTTAGACACATTGACACTCTGCAAAGTCTTACAAGCACTGCATTATATTGATACATAAAAATGTCAAAGTTCAATCTCTGATTATTTCAGAACTTCCTTATATACACAACTGAGTTTTCATTTACAGCAATTGAAATTACAAATCCACAAATTCCAAATCAAATTATTCTTTGTGTGCACCGATGATAACAGAACCTACCTTTGTAAGATGCATTTTCTTAACCTCATCTGCTATATTCATTAGCATAATTCTATGGCATTCCCCTTTTGACTGATGTTTCTCACTTGTATTATATTCATTTGGCATGATATGAAGTGGACTTTCTTCAACATGGGATGCCAAAGAACTACAATTCAGAGCATCTTTGTGATTAACTTCCACAAGAGTTTTATCTACAGAAGTACCCAAGGAGTAACCACCAACAGAAGAATCATTTCCTCGTCCATTTTCAGAAACAAGTTCCCAATTAGAATCCAAATGACAGCCAATATGATGACCACCCTTTACTTTTTTTGATTTCAAAGAGGACAAGGATGCTTCCCACACCCGTTTCTTTGCACCTTGTCTAGAACAAGAACAATACTTTACATCAGTACCATCTCCAGTTTCAGCTGCTTCTGGAGCAATGGTGGTGTTCTTGCAATCATCCCACAGAACCACATCCATGCAATTCTTTACAAAATCACTAGAAGAAGAACCTGCAGTGTAGGGAGGGTTGTAATACTACATATTAGTAATTGAAGAACATTTGATTGTAGAAATGAATTACTTAATTCTAAATGTCCTGCCAAATACATAGAGAATATAGAAAGAAATGAAAGAAACCAAAAAGAATATTTTACCTACCATCCACTAAACATCCACCATTCCCCAAGACCTGACACTGACTTTTGGTTTGGGGACCAATTTGATTTAGTGCTGCTGCTTCCTCCAAACAATTATTTGTCATAGGATTAGACAATTCCCCTATACCCACCGGTTCTTGCATTTCAACAGGAAAAGATGATGTTGATGGAGCATGAGGCTTTAATGGAAAGCCCAATTCAAACTGTTTTGAATGATTAGCAGGAAGATTGATATCCTTATTAATATGAGAAACCATAAGGATGGAGCCACCAGGAAAGCATAATGCTCTCCGAATATCAGCTCTAATTGGAACCTTGCGAACTTTACCCTTGGTATCCACTTCTGCTACTGATACAAAACTCTGCATTGCAATCCATTTTAGGGATAATTAATCATCAGATATTATGAAAACAGTTTCTCTGTAAAAATTGGTTCCAGCATTCTTCTCTTTCTGAAAATGACAGATGGTGAAGCATCAATCATAAAAATGACAAATGGTGAAGTTTACAATATTTTGACTGGTTGTCTTCATCAACAAGACTTTCACATAAAGAATGCTGTCACCAAAATTGACAGGTAAATAGAAGTGAAGGCGATCCAATTGCAAATTTGCAATCTGATCTAAAAAATGGAGACTTGTAAAATTCAGGCTTCACTCAAAATCTAATTATTACTTCAGTTCCATATTCTTCTTATGGAAACTATATTGGATTAAAGATTTGGATGGTACCAAGGGAGTTGTGTTTCACTCACTGAACAAGAAAGTGACCATTTTCAGAAATTGGCACTCAAGATGCTTATAAACAATTATAAATAGGACATCATTGGAAATCCAGCCAAAAAGGACATACATCCATAATTTAGCAATGTATACGGCACTGAACAGAATGGAATGGAGAAACAGGGTTAATGTAGGTGATCCCATATGGTGAGGACAAGGCTTAGATGATGATGATGATGACATCATTAGAAGACCATCAGAATTGAGCATATCAACCAAGAAATATGACATGATCCTAAATATATTTATACCCATTTCAGTTCAAGTCCAGTCAAGATACCTGTTTAAACCAAAAGCCTTCAGATTCTTTGTCTGCCCAACAAAATATTGTACGTACACCAACACTCTGAAGTCTCCTTTTCAGCTCTGTGTAGAGAAGGCGGCCAATCCCCTGAAAATTGCCCAGATCCGTCAAATGTAAAGAAAGTGTCAGATGTGCCAGATTTGTTCAATACATTAAATTAAGAATCTGATTATGACTGAGAACAAAAAAAATGCATTCTACAATCCAAGATTATGGAAAATTACAGCTAATAAAATATTCAATTTTATCAGCACTAAATCACTAATAAAATATTCAATTGGACACATTTAAACAAAGAACACCGTTGTCTTCTGTTGGAACATTGTAAATCTAACATGAAAGTCAAGAGAAGATCTCCCTAGATATATAGACTCCAATATTTTGAAGAACAGAAAATATAAGAATTGGAACTTATGGTTCAATTATGTTTATCTGTCAATCCCTTCTTGCCACATTGAGAATTAACAGCATTTCAACCAATGCACCAATTTTAAAAACAAAAATACAACAATGGAGTTCAAATATAGCACTCAACATGAAATCTTTGTGCATTAGAAAAAAATACAGAGTGCTCTCTGGCCTCTGCAATTTAAATAGAAACTGACAAAACTTTGCATGAAGACAGCATGTAGATGAAACAGAAACCGGAAACAACTAAACCTTGTGTTGGTAGTTTGAACTTATGGCAGCAACGGGGATCTCAGCATACTGTGTGTCAACAGGAATTATTTGATAAGTTATTGCACCTACCACCTGTATAAATAAAATGACCAAGAATAATACATCAATATTAAAAGTCAGAGAGCTATTCTGTTCAATTTAGATACATCACTAAGAGCAAGCAAAAGTATGCTCATATCCCATATCATTTAGGAAATACAGTCTACTAGAGAAGTTGTTTTTGTTAATCAGGAAAAGACAATAAGCATTATGTCCTCTGTTTGTCTATTTCCTTTTTTTGAAAGTAAAAGTTTATTGAAAAAGAAGAAAAAGCAAAAAAGGATGAAGCAAAATCCTGACAATCAACCAGACCCAAACAGCAAGATGGACTCCTAGAAAAAGTTTGTCTTGCAGAGGAAACAGAGAACAAGGGACTAAATAGGAAAAGGAGCTTTTTGGGATGTCTTGAGATTGGCAGAAAGATGGACTCCTAGAAAACCCGCTTACATTAACCAAGACTAGGTCATATAAATAAAGTAACAGAGAAACATGTCCATAAAAAATAATAGATGTATTTGTGCTAATTTCATAAAGATGGAAATAATAGAAAAATAAAAATAAATATTAAATAGATTTCCCATGCATAGATTTTTGTGTCCATGTTAAGCAAAACTGAGATAACCACAACCTAGCAGTTCTTACATTATTGAACAAGCATACAAATTGTTTATTGAAAATCCAAGTATCTGTATCATATAACACCATTGCCAGTTTACCACCAAGAACACTTCTAGACGTGATGGTAATTGGGTGCATGGAAAAATGAGACTCAGGTGAAGCATGATTATAAAGAACTTTGCCCAGAATGGAGCAGGAGAGTGCTGTTTGTGGATAGAAAGAACACAAATGATCCAATTGTAATAGCTATATAACAGCACCAAGCACTCCACAATTTGATAAACCATGGCTTAAATGTAATTACACCAATGGAAATAAAGAGACATTACTTACCTCAGTAGATCTTTCGCTAGAATTTGATTTCAACAACAAGGTACAGTATTTTCTGCAGGATGAAGCACAGCAAATTTCAACAGATTAAAAACTTGGAATACACATAAACTGCAGGATGAACCACAACCAATTCTAAAATTCTACCTTATTAATGACACAAGCGGTGAACTAGTTTAGATGTATTTAAACAAATGCCAATACAATTACATTTACATCCAGTAGCAGCACAATTCACAGATATAATCTTCCTTTATAGGTTTCTACAGGCATATCAAAAGCATGGAGAAAAGCAGATATGGGAAGATATTTCTTACCCATTCAGTACACATTTTTCAAGGAACAGTGATTCCTTTCCAGTATTTGCAGCATAATTCATTGACGGTAGTTCTTTCGTGTAAATCCCTAGCACTTCCTGGAATTCCATCAACAAACAACTTTAAAAAGAGTGGTTAGAATTCCCAACATGACCACTTGCATAACTTCCTGGTAGATGTATTTGTGTGTTAGAATACACAACAAATGAGCTATTCTGTGACCAAGAATCAAGGATCAAATGCTTGCATTGTGACTCAAGAGGACAGTAATAAAATCATACTTCAGCTTCCTTGTAGGGGCCAATTTTACTTCCATTAAAAACAAAAACACTACTCACATTTACTCATATAGTGAAAGAGAAGGTACCTGCAGCAGGCATTTGCTACGACTATCAATATCTTTGGGATTAATGAGCAGGAATAAGTAATTCCCCATAGAGAAACCTCCCTCTCTTTCCACTGAAGAATTCGAAAACATCATAAAAAATACCCAATTGCATATAGATATCAAAGGCCATCTAAAAATCCAAAAGCTATATGAATCAAATGAATAAACATAATCTTTTACCTCTTTCTTCAGAATCCTGGTGCTGAAGCTCATTACAGTGCTTCTTTGCCATGCATTTTCTTGAATTGTCCACTGATTCAGGAAAAAAAAGAGTCGTACAGAATAATAATCTGGCTATTGGAGTTAAACGACAAAGTGTGTTGTTATCCTAAAAAAAATTGGCGGAATTATCACCTGAAATTTTGATTTTTACGGTATCTGAAACTGAGATATGGAGATTGTTTCTGCTCGATTTGCAGACGAAGTCGCTTCCTTCAATCTCGACGTTGCAGTTCCCTGGAAAAAATTAATAATAATAATAACAATAAGCCTTGCAAAAAGTACCAATGAGAAGAACATGGGAGTTTCCTCCCTGTTCATTTTAAGTTTTGGGAGGACTAGGGCTCCCTTCTCTCGTAAGTTCTAGGGTTTGTTTTCCGGTTACCGATCGGAATGGGTGAGGAAGACGAAGAGCTCTTTCTTCTGCAGCGCCTTCTTCCCGCCATGACTGTTCACAAATTACGGTTCAACTAGAAAAAAAAAATGAAGTTTGAGCCTTTATAAATGGGCGCGAATCGGCACAACCGTAAATTTGTTAATATGTAGGGCCGTAGAGGGAATTTTACAGTAACATGGGGTTTGTCGGGCGGGTTGAGTCGGGTCAAGAGCAACGCAAGCCCAACCCTGGTCTTAAGGCCCAAGCCCAGACTGAGCCTGAGGTCAAGATCTGTCCAACCTATGCCCAGGCCGAATGGAAATTTGACGTAATTGGATTGGGTCTATGCCTGAGTTGGACTTGGACGACCTATTAGCTTCAATGTAATAAAAAGTTTAATAAAACTATGGGTTTTATGCATGTCATAAAAGTTAAATTTGACTATATAATATTAACTTATATTTTAGCTTTTTCTTTAGACACGTACATGTCCTTACACCAGTTATCATTATATAAACCTTTATATATTTTGCTTTTATCCATGCATATTAGTATGTATAAAAGTATGTATGCATATGTATTTACGTATGGCTATAGATAAGTTTTAGTAATCGGCCCAGCTTGGATTTGGCTAAGATCAGGCTTCAACTTGGGCTTGGGCCACCTAAAGATAAAGCCCGGGCTAACCTAAAAAAATAATAGGAAGACCTGAGATTTTGGAGCTAGGCCCAACCCATGAACAAAACATCTAAGTTCAGCCCGTATAAAATCCTTTGTTGAATAAGTCTGGGCTCGGATTGGGCCCTCCCAAGTCCCAAGGTGCACCCCAAAGCAGGACTCTACTCATGGGTCCTAGTCCAACAAACTCGTTAATTGGGAAGTACAAGAAAGTGAAGAAACCCCAGTCCAGACAACCTCGGGCAACCACTAGAAAGTATCAACCAATGAAAATGTACATTTAGTTTTTTCAAATATATATCCTTGGGAAATGCCCTTTGTGAGGGATTTTACACAGCACAGCATTGTGCCATTGCAAGGTATTCCCCACATGGAAAGCTGTGCAGCCGTAATTGACGAAAAACCTGGAAAGCCAAACAAGCCCATAGGGTTTCATCTGAAACCTCCATACAAGTAGATGAAGCAACTTTTGATCATAACCTCCATAAAAGTTAACTTAGGTCCGTAAATAGGATTGACAAAAGGCTACAACTTGAGTGAACCGGTCTGGATTGGGCTGTGAACCTAGACCCAACACCAGCAGATGTGAAACCGAAGGCCCAAGCCCGAATTTGAAGACCTGGGCCATTCCCAGCCTAATCCCACCGCTTTCGGGCCTGTGTCAGGTTAGGCTTGACCTGGATGCTCTTACCTAACCACATGGCCACGTTGAAGAATCTTTACCAAACACACCCAACTGGTAGGGCCGTCCCACCAATCACCATCCATGTCCCATCTCCATTTTTCCTGTAACCCACTCCGAAGACCAATATAGATTGATATCATTATTGTTGTTGGCCGGCTTATAAAGTTGAATCCGTTCACCAAACAAAAAGACTTAACCGTTCATTTGGCAATCAAACAAAATAAGCTAAAATTCGAATAAAAAATAAATCAGAATTTACACTCATATCATTTGTATTATTATAGTTTTAGTTTTGCATCAGTGCAAATAGATTTACATTGCAACCAAACGCAGCCTTAGCTTATAAAATTACAATCTAATAAACTACGTCAAATTTCAATTCTATATATAGGGTTCATCCCAATTCGTCTAGGCGAATCAACATCATCACCTTTTGTTCTAATAATGGCCGGAATTCTCCTGAAACCAACTTCTTCATTGCTCATTGTCTTAACATGCTTCTTCTCCTCTAGTGTTGCCACTAGTGGTGCTGGAAAGCCACATCGCTTCTCCCGGACTCTATTACCGGAGTCCGTGGGGCTAAAGCAGGAGGAGACTGCAACCCACCTTCACTTCTACTTCCATGACATTCTTGGTGGCACCAACCCAACTGCCGTCCCCATTGTGGAAGCAGCAGCAACGAAGACATCTGCCACAGCGTTTGGCCGGGTCATAATGATGGATGACCCATTAACTGAAACTCTGGAGGCTACTTCGAAGCTTGTAGGGAGATGTCAAGGATTCTATGCCTATGCATCACAAAGTGAGTTTAGCTTCTTAATGGTCATGAACTTTGCCTTCACAGAAGGGGAGTACAATGGCAGCACGCTTAGTGTGTTAGGGAGAAACCCTGTTCAGTCGACGGTGAGGGAGATGCCGGTGGTGGGAGGAACTGGGCTTTTCCGGTTCGCTCGAGGCTATGCTCAGGCCGAGACTCGCACTTTCGACCTTAAAACTGGTGATGCAGTTGTTGAATACAATGTATTTGTAGTTCATTAATCCGTTATTTAAGGGTCCATGGCTTTCTCTTTCTATGTACCCCCTTT